ACAAATGTGCAGACTGTCAATTGCAGATGCAAGATGCAAGGAGACGAGACAAGTGAAGATTATGAATAGATACATGAAATTGAACAATCGTGCTTTGCGAATGCAGAGAATAATTTTAATAACAACTGTAAAAATACAGTTAACACACACAGTTACATACAGCAATGAAATAAGTGTTTGGAGCTCTTGAAGTTTACTTGAAATAAATGAGGATGCAACGACAATAATTCATACAAAGTGAGATAACAATGTTGCCCCCCTTTAGGGAGAATTGTGTGTACAAACTAACAATAAAGGACACAAAATATTTGTTTACTAAAGTTATTTTTTGTTTGTGTTTTTAATAATCAATGAAGCATAAGTTTTCATATATAGAAATAGGAGCATATACCACCTTTTTATCCACATTGTCGATGTATGAAGATTTGTAGTATTGTTGTTTGTGTTTTGGTTTTTCATATGTTCGTTATGAAGCAGCGTATGACTGCTTATGGCTGCATGACACTTCCACGTTGCATGTACTCTTTTCAGTACACGCACTAATAAATTAACTGAATTTTGAAAATAAATACGTGTAGAAGACGTCTTCGCTACAACCGTCACATATGTGTCACGAACAGCTTTTCTTACCTGTGCCCGGCGTCATGAATATGTGACTAGTGTTCATAATCAGTTTATAATGAATGTTGGAACAATAATATGGATGATACTCGATGTTATTGGTCTGGCGATAATTAATTATCTAAGACAGATTACAGCCATCACCAATATATGTTACATATTCTTTATCAGTTTTATTTAATTAGTTGCACTAAGTGGTGCTGAGTTATAAGAAAATAAAATAGCTGCAGAGAGGGTCTAGTTTCCCGAGTTCTCCCAAGAAAACGTATATAAGATGTACTTGTTCAAGGATGAAATCCATTTTTAATTGGCAGCAGTTAACTTGATCACGAAGAGAATGCGCGCTACTTACTCGAGTGATGAAGTTGCTGAAGATATCATTTGTGAAGTAAATGAACCTCGGTATGTGAAGAGCAATTACTGGGCAAGAGTAGTAATATATTAATGCAGAAATGTGAAGAAGGTAGACGTGGTGTGCTAACAATATCGCCAAGAAAATACGGCACAGAAGTGAGAAAGAAGTAAATAAACCCTTCACGGGCGCTGACCATAATAAGAATATCTCGGAAATCGAAAGAGCAGATCAAACGATCTCGCTCTTTATTCTGCTACACGCTGGTACATTAAATACTTTTAACATAAATGTTTCGAATTCTTGTTCGTTGTTATAGAACAAAGATAAGTTACGTAGACCGAATCGTGAGCAATCCCGTAGAGCAGCATTTCAGACATTGGAGTCTGGAAGAAAGAATTAGATGCCGTGTCCGCTTCGTCAATAGAAAAAGCTCAGCTGCTATGTATGCCTGTGAGATGTGTAAAATAGGTGCTGCCAATAGGGCTACCAATTGGACTATGTATTATATTAATTTGTTTTGAATCAAATCTGTTACATACAAGTGACGACGGGTCGCGATCAAAGGAATTACCTATCTATAGCACAGAGTCACTTATGTGTCTTTGTAATAAGTAATTTTGAATAAAGACTTTTCCAAGTCCACAGCATTTATGATAAAAGGGTGTATTAAATTTGCGCAGATGTACCCAACACCAAGAAGTACTTGAGATAGAAATACTTTTTATTATACCTATCATTTTTATTAACGAATTACTTTCTTAATCGGTCTAAGCTTGTCTGTCTTTCTGCCTCTCTGTCTGCCTGTCTGTCTGTCTGTCTGTCCTGATTTCTTGTGTTCAATCTACAGGCCATGATACTTGAGATATTTTGATATATATTATTATACCGATCAGTTTTCTTAACGAATCACTTATTGTCTCGATCTAAATTCATTTTTTTCTAGCCGTCTGTCCGTGTTGTGTTTTTGTTTTCAACCTACAGCTTACAATTTTTAATATGTTTTGATGAAGTTTGGTACACTGACGAGTTTTGGTCCAAGGATGAACGCTATCGATTTGGAACACTTTTTCAACCACTTCCCCTATGACGATTTATTTTCGGTGTACGGTATTTAATGGTGAGCCATGACGTGATTAACTTGTTCAAAGAGAGTTATAAACAAGATTACTCTTATTGTACGAGACGTTGGGAAAGTAAAGAGTGAGTTTATTCTATGTGCAGGTTACATACAATATTAAATTTAAGGCGATTGCGTTGAATGCTCACCAAAATCGATTGCGAAAAGTATTTCGAAAATCAATTTAAATCATTTTCATGATCTTATCTGGCATTTTGTGTATGCCCATGATCGTCATACATAAAAGAGCACTGTGAAGGCATATTGGGTGAAAATTACTGACCAAGCATGGAAAAAAAGTGAAGTTGATTTTATCTATCGAAGACAATCCCTTGTATTATCTCTCTTTCTCTCTCTCTCTCTCTCTCTCTCTCTCTCGCTCTCGCTCTCTCCCTCTCTCTCTCTCCCTCCCTCTCTCTCTCTCTCTCTTTCTCTCTCTCTCTCTCGTTTCTCTCTAGTTTAATAAGATGTAAGATCTTTGAGAGGTGGTGGCTTTGATTGGAATAAGGAAAAAACATTTCCAAATTGCAACTGTTTCAAGATAACTTGTATCCGATGAGTAGCAGAGCTAGATGAATGCCTTGGCGACAATCGTACTTCACGAATGGAAGCTATTTACTGGGAAAATGTTATTGTATTTATCCTAAATAAAGCGTCGCACAAATGACGATATATGCTACCAAGTTGTTGCTGCCCATCGTCGTTAACAATTTAATCTTATGTTAGACTTAAGGCTTAAAAATGTGTAATAACGGTAGAAGGGGATCGTGTTGGTAAATGCTTCCATACAGCAAGATTTACTGCAATTCATCGCAGTGAGCAGACTTTCTGTGAATTTTCTCGTTATTTAAAAACATCTATAGAAATTTTTAATTGTAAAACATAAAAAGCTTACGGCTATCGTGATGAAGAACGGTTATTGAAAATCTTTCAACATAGCTATAAAATCATCGAAACAATTTTGGACCTTAAACAGCATTTCATAGACAGCACAAGTCATTGTTTCACTGTTACCTCGTCTTGGCGTTTATGGAAAATGAATTGAAATTGTGTAGAATAGACTGTGAGTATATAAAATGTATATATATACATAAACATGCATGTATAGAGTAAACTTCGAGGCGCTTAAATGTTTGTCAAAATCTGTCAAAAGCAGACTATAGGAGAAAACTTTTCAATTTTTTTTTTTTTTTTGTTTTTTTTTTGCACAAATTATGAAAATTGCTGCGTTTACAAAAGATATGCTAAATAACTTGCGTACGCTCCGACATGTCTTCGCGGTATAATAATAAAGTTAAATTTAGAATTTTTTTTTTTTTTTTTTTTTTTTAAATTTTCAAGGAAATTCTAATTTGCATAATAAATTTATTTCCTAGCGTGGTACAAAAAGAGGAGAGCAAAGCAAACAGGTGGTGCAGAGGAAATGTAGTAAAAGAATTGGTTCAACAAACTGTAAAGGCTGCCTGACGCCACACAAATGCGGTTATTATAGTAATTATATACGTGATGAGTACTAATTAACCGTTTTTTCCGACTGACTGAGTGGAAAATTTATTATTATTGCTTCTTTTTTTTTTTTTTTTCGTTTTCAGGATAATTTTCATAAAATTAATTGTTGTTTGTCCATTTTTACGAAAGGAATTCATTCATTCATTCATTCATTCATTGATTCGATTTCAGTAGAATTTTGGACAAGCGTTTGCATGAGTTGATCATAACAAATATTCTGACATTCTTACAAATAATTGAAATTTAATAGGGAAATATAAATGCACACATGTACACATCTTGTATAAGGGGCATAAAAGGGCATAAACATCTCTTAAAAAACAAAAAAAAAAAAAGAAAAGGCATTGCGGGCAAAGAACATACAGAGGATATACTTATATGTATGCATATAGATATGTGGAGAGCGAGAGAAGCACGCATGAATATTGCTTGAATTTCATTTTTCCTTTTTTTTTTTTATGGTTTTCCACCAGTTCTGTGACGTGCAATAGTGTTTTTTTTTTTTATTTTTTATTTTTTATTTTTTTTATTTGTTTGTTTTAAAAACATGGATTTGTATAGGTGTTCTTATTTAAATCCGCATACGTGCGTTGTTGTGGTACTCATAAGTTTGCACACTGTTTGCATACTACCCATAGAAGTTACACTTGTAGTAATAACAGTTGCTCCCTTATTCAATGAAAAGCCCTTTCACACAGAGTGTACAACAATTCGAATTAAAAGCTTTTCTTCTTCTTGTTCTTCTTCTTCTTTATTTTTTTGTTTACATTAATTGCTTTTGCATTTTTTGGTACGAAAAGTTTCAATTTGCATAATTTTATTGCATAACTCACCGAAGTTGGGTATATTAAAGTCATTGCGTTTTCCTTGCGCGCTGCGATCAATTTACCCGGTCCCTTTATTCCTCGATTTCTTTTCATCATCGTACCGTACATAATGTTTTTTGTTTCCTTCTTTCTTTTCTTTTCCTCTCTCTCTCTCTCTCTCTCTCTCTCTCTCTCTTCTATTACTATCTCTGTTTTCTAACGAAAAATCAAATGCAAATCTCTTTGAAAATTTATCATCGAGGAAATTGTTTTCGGTAACTTTGTTGTCGTTATATGCCCGGAGGTAAAGGGCACGATAATGGAAAGACAGGTAAAAGGGTTGGTGGAGGGACCATTAGACTTTTTAAACTGTTTTGTTTCTTCCATTTTTTTTTGTTTGCTTTTTTTCAACTCTTGTGTCGTCGGCTAAACTTAATGATGATGATGATAATGATGATGATGATACATTGGTAATCTCTTTTTTTAACACTTTTCTCATTGTTCTCTTTATTTATATCTTTATACATTTATTTATTTATTTGTTACTTATTGTTGTTCTTGTTGTTGTTGTTGTTGATTTCTTTTGTTACAGTAATGACGGACACTATAACGGAAAGTTGGATGTATTACATCTTCGTGTTGCTGACGTTAATTCCGGTTTATTTGCTGTTTAAGCTTTTACGGTTTTTTGGTTGGAAACTATTTATTAACAACTAATACGCAAGCTTCGGACAAGTACTAGTAAGTCGCACGCAACGTGTGTGTGCCTGTGCTGTGTAGAAAGAGGTAAGCTATTCATATATATATATATGTATATATATATATATATATATATATTTGTTGAGCATACATACATTTATATGCTCATATGCTCGTGTGTGTTTGTATCACAAATAAAATTTTCATCTTTTTAACGCTTGGCTGAGCAAATATGTGCTTGAAAATCTCTTTGCTTACGAAAAATAATTTTTCTCGTTTGTTTTTCTTCTTTTTTTTTTTATTTTTTGCAATTTACAATAAATGCTAAAGAATTTTGTTTGCTGATAAAAATGATAGCCAGCCACCACATTTAAAGACCAGAGGGTTTTGTGTAAAGCAACCAACGGATTTCCTGTACTTCTCTAATGAAAGCAAGTGAGTTTTTTTTTTTTTTTTTTTTTTTTTAAATATTTGCTCGAGTGAAAGTAGCAATATCCTGATTTTAGCTTACGATGTCACATATACAGATTATATGAACTGCGGTCTAATCGTTCGTTAACGGGATTACGGGTTTACGTAAATATGCTTTCAAAATATTCAATGACCTGTGAAAAAAGCCGTCAGTAATTTTGTACTACTTTTTTAAATGAAATGTATCTTTGGGCGAAAGATTTTAAATTGTCCTATATGCAGAAATTCTTTATAGCTTTGTGTGGCTGGCTGGCTTATTATAAAGTTATTGTGTGTGAATAATTACCTAACCTGTGTAGCTACAAAAAAAAAAAAAAAAAAAAAAGACTTGCAAAAACATAATAGTGGGCAACGGCCTATCGTTAAATGCCCTACTACACTACTCTGCTCATGTAAAACGATATGGGAAGCGGTTGAAAAATTGGTGCGACCCGAAACAACAGTCAGTCAACATCAAACTTCATTCAAAATATTTCAAAAAATCCGACCCGTTGAGATTAAGCATAAGAATACAATATGAACAGACGGACAGAGGGAAAGACAAGCTTACACCGATTGAAAAATTGGTTCGACCCGAAACAACAGTCAGTCAAGATCAAACTTCATTCAAAATAACTCAAAAAATCCGACCCGTTGATATTAAGCATAAGAATACAAGATGAGCAGGCGGACAGAGGGACGGACAAGCTTACATCGATTCAGAAAGGGGAGAAGTTTGCTTGGAACAAAGCAGAAAGGAATACCTCTGCTGAAGATCGTATGAAAAAAGTCTACTTTTTTTGCTTTATTCGCTTTTTATAGTACCCTTGGGTAAGTTTGCTTTAAAATTTAATGAATCATATCGAATTGCAAAAGTGATGCGAACTTAGAGTAACTGGAAACATATAGGGTTTTCTCGAATTTTTTTCTTTTATTCGAAAACTGTATAGAAAGTGCGACTAAAACTCCATAATATGTAAACAGAAATGTTCCCTGCAGCAAAGTCCAAACAATTAGGAGTATATTTGGAAAGAAAGTATGTGTAGAAAGTGATAAGTGCTCTTATGGTTAAGAACAATGGGATCTCTTTATTTTGATTCTTGGTCAAGGCGACGCGTTGAGTTTTGTTTTTGCCAAAAATCTAAACCAAATTATTCCGCTCGAAATTGTGCGAAACCTTTTAAAAAAAACCAGATATTAAATGCGAAAAAATTTTAAAATCGAATAAAGGTTTTCTGGACTAGATATTTATCCTCTGCTAAACATAAGTAGATAACTGGTATGACTTAGTAAAGTATGTTAAGGTTTAGCTCCCTTTTGCAAACTTGACAGCGATTAGGTAACGATGAAAAGTCTTCAGTAATTAATATGCTTACCTATCAGCGCAACATTTAGCATTTGTATGAGTATTGCCATTCGTTGGTTTTTTTTTTTTTTAATGTGTTTTATTTAACTTCCGTTGTACTACTGTGAGGTTATTTTTGCCACAGACAACTGATTGCATGCGAAAACATCAATCAGGCGGGAATACACTCATGCTTAGCCAATGTGAGCTTGCTTCATGGGATTAAAAATCCTTTTTAATTTAACATTTGTAGCAAAGCAAAAACTATATCCGCCGGAACACGTCAGTTATGAATATAATGCTCGCTTCGGTAGCGAATGTGTTATTGGCCCCTTCACTCTCAACCATCAACCTGGCAACCTGCGTTGTATGTAGCTATTTTGTCTATCATTTAGTTTTATTTTGTAATACAGAGAGAGAGAGAGGGAGAGAGAGAGAGAGAGAGAGAGAGAGAGAGAGATAGATAGAGAGAAAGAGAGTTAATAAGGTACCAATTGTGAAATGTGAACGCCGCAAAAAGACCGACAACACTTAAGCAGCACTTTGGTTCGTTTTTTAACACGCAGAGGATTGCACACACATACATAGGACAGACAGTAAGCAATTAACATCATCAATAAGCAAGGTAGTAAGGCTACGCACCAATAAAGTTCATCAAAATATCGCCCTCTTAACTGCGCTGACTATTAGAAGCGCAATAGGAAGCAGTCGATCGATAGAATTTTAAGTAAAATGTTGCATAATAAATGATTTAGTTTTTCCATCAAAGAAAAAAAAGCAATATTACCAAACGTTAGTTTATCAGTCTATCTTTAATTTGAAATCTTTTTGATTCTATTGAATATCTTCGTTGCTAAGCTGTTTATATGAATCAATGTAATTTTTATGCCACATGTCCCGTTTTGGGTACACACTACTAAATGTGTTTATTATTGTTATTACGATTGCTGCCGGCTCCACATATTTCGATTGGCGATTACAAATATCGTTGCCTCATCAGACCTGCAGATAGCAGAGTGAAGTTCTCTTTCTGTTTGCTGCTACGAAGAGAACAAGTGCGAAATCGAAATAATGGAATAACATACGAAATTTTAAATTATCTTAAGACAAATTAATGATAAAGATTTGTCCGTTACAGGATCGCTCTGTGGGTTTTACGTCTGCAACTGGCTTGTTGCCTTAATCAGACGGAGAGACAGGGGGAGAGACAATCTCCTAATAAGGGGGCCTCTCTTCCCCCGTGGTGCGCAGATGGTTCATCGTGTATGGCCATATAAACCGCCATTCTGGTAGGTGGTGAGGCCTATCATCACCCCGAATTTATTCCAATAGATATGGAATGGTGAAAACCACAGCCACCACGATACTCCCCGAAGGGCCGTACCCAAGCAGTTAGGGCTCACAAGGATTGAATGATGTACCTTCCAGCGCACTTTCTTCGTACATCAAATCAACCCCCGTGATCGGGCTCCTGACCCCCGTGGTGCTTAAAATTAGTCTACAAAGCCGTTAGCCTTACTTTGCGCTTTGTATCACAAATGCAATACGCCACTCTTGCCTATAGACTTAACCATACAGTCACGGTTAGCCAATTCCGGACTATCTTTCTTCAAGATATATAGTTGTCGGGCGTATCATCTGACATGGCCAGATTTTCATGCTCTCAGTAATTACTATATTCGTAGTACTTATGCAAAACCAGCTACCATTGAGTCTGGTTAGGCTTTCCTTTATAGTAAAAACTATTGAGAAGATATATAAAAACTATATCTCAGTGAAGCCCTAAAACCATCTATCAGTTAGACTCGTCACCGAGTTATAATAGTCTTTGCCTTAAACTCTTCTTCGCCGGTCGAACCGTTTCCGGGGACCACCACTTGGAGGTGAGAGTTTTGGCATTTCTATACTCCATACGGAGCATAGTTTATCAGCCCTCCGTTACAGGAGTAAGCAAGTATCATATCAAATTCGTAAAGCAAAAATTATTTTTTTCTTTCGCGTTTATGAGAGAAAATATATATTATTTGTCACGTCATGCGTACAGCTATTGGCATAAGGCTTAAACAGCGCCTCTTTGAAAAATTGAAATTGCGGTTTACTACCGCGGTAGAAAAGTGCAGAGACAATATTTTGTATATGAAATTTACTTGATCTTCGCAATCAATTTACGCAATAATTATAGGCATACGACCTTTACGTCGACTATGTAACTATGTGATGCAGTAAAGTTTTCTTACCACAATTCGCAAAAAAAGAAAAAAGAAAAGAAAAGAGAATTAAAAAAGCGACAATAATTTTTTTTATTTCTAATCGAACATGACAGTTGGACATTAAAACTTAATGTGCTTCTCCTTAGTCATCTAACAAACAAATAAACAATGCACACACATACAAATACGCCGAAGAAGGTTTTTATATCGGCCATCGTTATCTTTAATCGATTTGCTTTATTATGTTCTTTTAAGCATTTCAAGTATTTATTGTTCTTTGGTTAGTATTTGCCTTTGTGTGTGCTGAAATGCCCAAAATACCTTCCACACTGACGAAGATATGGGTTGAGTCGGCTAACCTATCTCTATATAAAGACATTACTACAATGTCTGACTGTTGTTTTATTATTATTATTATTATTATTTTTTTGCTTCCCCTCTTTTTATTGTTTGTTATCTGAAACGGTTTGGTTTAATGCCAAAATGACAAGTGAAGCAGAAAACTGAAGCTGCCGCGTATGGGATTTTTGACCTCAATGCTCAAATCTCTGAATAAATATTACCTACTTCACCAATCATACTGTCTATATCCAATATAAATGACGTATATATATATTTATGTGTTTATATAGATACACAAATACACAGATATGCAAACACACACACACACACACACACAAACACACCCATATTTATCTCACGTATAAAGTTATTGTAATGTAAAGCACATAATACACGTACATAGGAGATTGACTTTTGAGAATATTTACATATTACATAAATCCAAATTGTGTTTAACCCACATTTGCACGTAGTATTTGCTTATGGATTTTCGGCTTATAAATAAATGGCAAATCTCTCCGAAAGTAAATTAGATCACTCTTCTTCTTATTAATGATGGAAGTTAGTTTTGGTTGTTCGGTGTTACCTTGCAGGTTACGCTTTAAATATTATGAGACCATTACATTCGTGCATGCATGAACTTGATGCTCGATTTTATAATTTTGTTTTTTCTTTTTCGCAAACATCAAGAGTAATTTCATTCCATTTAAAAAGATCATTGGAACGGAACGAATTTTTTCTCTTAGAATATTCGCTTTAAAATAATGGTAAAACGCACATTATTTATGGTTGCGAGCAATGATTGTAAAACACAAATCAACGAAACTTTGTTTATGATTATGGAAAAATGAAAAGAAAAGTAGTTAGCCAGTAGCGTTTATTAAAAATTGTCATATATCAATTTAATTGAATTAAAGCTTTTTCGGGAAAGCTCCATTTTTTCCATCAAATTTAGTTAATGCAAATCTAATTATGAATTACTTAGTCCAATTTTAAGGACCTCTGCTCGCAAATTAATCTCTTTATCCGATTCTCTGTACATACGATTAAATCCACTCTTTTTTCTTTTCGTTAATGGTCGCGTATTCGGTCGACGTCGTCACATCTACAACTGAAACATTGAATTAATGAAATCACGTTATGATTCGTAAAAATGCTATATGCAGTTGTTGTAATACGTTGCCATGCGCTTTTGCATGTGTTTGTGTCGATTTGATAATACATTCTTAGTTTTAGGCATATTGGCTATGTGTGTGTTTTTGGCTACTCGTGAACCTATGCTGTTTGTTTCTCATTTTCTCTTTCATTCTTAATTTGAAACATTTAAGCATATAGAGAGTTCAGCTCTTTTCCGTATTCTTTACATATATTTCTCTTTATTTAATCTCATATCATAGTATCCCGCTCTCAATCCTATATCAAGTTGTTTCATTTACAATTGTGTGAGACAACGTTGTAGATGAATTTTAAAAATATTACATATTCGAAGGAAGAAAAGGATGAAAGAAAGAAGAAAGCATTTCCTTAATTTAAAAAAAAAAAAGACAAAATTTAGTTCAAAAATCTGTAGAAAACTTGTATTACTTCCTTTCGGGGAATTTCGGGGAAAATAAGTAGATGATCGAGGAGATTCTCTTTGTATCTATCATCGAACGAAGATGGGATATGTCAACTTTGCAAAAAGGGTTGCAACATTCCGAAGGAGACTTCAGAAACCGCATCAAATTCTGAATTGGTTTAAGAATGTCCGTTTGTCCGTGGCATATATTCTCCTTGGCGCAAAAACCACGATATCGGTTTCAAATTTGTTGAAATTGTTCACATTTCTTGCTCACAAGCTACCACTGAATACGGGCCAAGTCGATCTGCAGTTGATCTGCATGTCTGCGTATTACAACGCCTAGTGAGAGAACCTCTGCTTTGAAAAGCAGCAAAAACTAGTTTCCTTTCTCTTATCACTTACAAACTACGATAGATAAGTCTGGGTCGGTGCAAAAGTGAAAATAAAAATTGGCCACACACCCACACACACACACACACACACACACACACACACCCACACACCCATACACCCACACACCCACATTTAACATTATAGAGTATCAAAATTTTGTGTTTTTGCCTTTTTTTTTTTTTTGTTTTTTTACTATTGACCATAATACTTTGAAAATTTTCCTTTTTACACGGTTTTTTCTTTTTTTTTTTTCCCTTTGCAATTGCAATTGAAATGGTTTGCGCAAGAAAACAAAAAATGAAGTCTGCACATTGCCTTGCATACCTGTGTTACAGAAGGATATTGTTCACTTATACGGCCGCTATAAGTGAACTGCGGCCTGTGTTCAACCTACAGACCTCAACTTTTTAAATTTATTTTGATGAAATTTGATAGACTGACGTGTTTTGGCTTAAAGACGAACGATATTGAAAATGATTCGGATTGGATCACTTATCCGATCATTCCTCAAATAACGCGTTATTCGGAAAATTCGTTATATGAGTAACTGTAAAGTAGCGTAGCGTATTTGATGGTGGGTCATGTCACACTATAGAGTTTTAACTTGCTCAACTTCTATATATGACTGATCGCTGTGTTCTATTTACGTTAAATTCTTTCTAAGAGATAAATAAATAAACGAATCAATGAATAAATTTGCTAATTAAAAAGAATGTGATAATAATTTAATTTAAAAAAAGGAACAAATAATAAAAATCAGAATATCTTTAAAGTTCTAACTTCTGTCATTTTCATTAACTAAAAGCCCTTAAGGTTGTTTATGCAATGAATCTTAATTAAGGCTGTCTTGAGAGAGAAAATTTTATAATTGCAAAGAATGAAGAAATATGTAAATAAGTTTTAAATGTAATCAAAAATATATGTTAGCTTAATGAATATGATAAGTGTGAACGACCTATTGCATAGCTTGAATTTTTGTATTGTGTACTTGTATACACGTATACTGAACATGTCGTATTTGAAAAATAATATGTTTAAAATAATATAATTGAATGGGTCCCTTCGATCCGCATTATTACCTGACCCCTTTATACGGGGGGCTACTGAGCTCATTTGTTAGGAATGAAAGAAATTGATTTGAAGAATTTAACAAACACATGACGTACTGCTTTTCTTCTTAAAGCTCTTCTGGCCACCGTAGTTATTATTGAAAGTAATTTTCGATTATTTTATCTCGAAGAAAGTTTTATTATTATTATCTAAACTAAGGAAATAAATTCTTCGATTTAAGTGAAATTACAATTACAAGCAACTAAGGCTATCGAGGACAAATAAGGAACTAAATGGTCAAATGGTAGTTGTTTTAATAAAGTTAAATGCTTTATTATTGCGAGTAGGGAACAAAATTTTGTGCTCGTTTAAGTAAAAGTAAAAGAAAAAAAAAATTTTATTGAATTTATTGTCGAAACAAGTGAAAAAATTATAGTGGTAAATCACGGCCCATCATTATATATCCTAGACCCGCCCACAGTTATTCGCAAAGTTGTCTGATCCGAGTCATTTTCAATAGCGTTCGTCCTTGAATCAAATCATTAGGTCAGCGTACAAAATTTCATTAAAAATAACTGAAAAGTTGCCATCTTTATGGTGTGTACAGCAATACAAGAGGGACAGATGGAGAGAGAAAAGGAAAACAAAACTTGTATCGATTTACAAAATGATTCGTTAATAAAAGTGAATAAAATATCAATATATCTTAAATATTGCGATCTGTAGGTTGCATACAAGTATACAAGACGGACGGATGGAAAGACAAGAAGACAACCTTACATCAATTCAGAAAATGATTTGTTAATAAAAGCGATCGGTGTAATGAAATATTAAAATATCTCAAGTATCGCGGCTTGCAGATTGAGTGCAGGAAAACAAGATAGAGAGACGGACACGCAGACAAAACGACAGAAAAGCTTAGATCGAGTAACAAAGTAAGTCGTTAATAAAAGTGATCGACAGAATAAAAAGTGGTTTTATCTAGAGTACCCATCTGAATGTTGCACACATCCGTACAAATGTAAAAATACCCTTGTACCGCAAGTGGTGTAGGTGGTGTGTATAAAAATGATTGTTGTACTGTTCTGAAAAATTTTCTTCGCAAAGTTTTGTCAAACTTCTATATCAAGTACACCTGCAGTGCCATCCGTTCAATTGTTTTCGGGAAGCCCTGTAGAATACTGCAGTTTACAGTTTTCTCCTTTGCTCGAAGAAAGCAAATCTGGTGAATACATTGAGTTTGCTTCAACAACTTGTAGTTTCAACTTTTCTTTTCACAATTTCTTTACGTCGTTGACATGACAAATGAGGAGAAGAATTCTGTTTTGTTAAACAAGAATTTCGTTCTTATGATTTCTTGAATTTAATCGATCTGAACTGTTTTATTATTACTTTTCAATTCGGTAGATAATAATATAGATAAATGTGGAAAGTATGGATATAAAGGTTGCTACTTAGACGATATGCATGTTCGCCACGATCCTTGAGTTGTTAATGCGATACTTTACCGACTCGGCTACTCACGAGAACTAATGACAATGTATTTAGTGACAGTAACCCGACATTGATCGATTTTGTTCACTATGGCTTTCCCTATGGCATTCCTGAAAATTTCACATGAAATTCTCTTGGGTTAAAATTGAAGAAATTGCGGGCAACAGATTTCTCTGCCTTAACGTTCTTTTCAAAATTAAATGTTTTCGAATTGAATGCAATGTGTGCCATTTATGGCCGGATTATCTGTAACGTTTATTAGCTAAGAGGCAAACGATTCCGCATTCTTTTTTACAAACCCATTAACTAACTAACGAAATTAGCCGATACATCAACTTTTTTTTATGGTAAGTAAAAATGAAGTCATGGGCTTCTGGGTATTGCTTGTTGCATCAATACGAACTTACACTACATGAGATATATTATATAAGCGGACATGTTTAAAATAGATATCAATATTATCTCTCAATATTAGCTCTTGTTTAATAATAAATTTGAATAATTTCATCTAATGTTCTCAATTGCAGGTATCTTTGTCCGCCGTTCGTCGATAAATAAATGGAAAAATTAACGCAATAATAACAATGCCATGCCATGAAATACTTTTAAAAATATATATAATAGAAATAATTGTTCAGAGAATTTTAAAATTTACGAACTTCATAAAAGAGTCTATATAAGCATTGTGTGTGAATAGTATAAAATATAGAGACACATTTTGAAGTGAGTATAGAAATAAAAATAAATTTTTTTTTTTTTTTTATTTATTTATTTATTTTTTATTATTATTATTATTAATCGCATTAATAGTAAGTACTGTGCTGCTGTAACGTTCATCCTTAAAACTACATATATTCAATTCATTGCAATCGCAAAGTGTTAAGCTCTCAATAACTTCTCTTTAAAATTGAATCATTTTAATGAATACTTTACATTAACCAAAGATCTCTAAAAAAATGAATAAATAAATAAATAAATAAAATAAATAAATAAATAAATAAAATCAAAAGATTAATATAAGGATCTTCTTTTAACATTTATGCATTTTAATATTATAGACAACTCATAATAGTTTCATGTTGAAAGCATTTGCTCCGTTATCCTTGCTATTATTATTATTCTTCGTTTCATTCATTTAGTTTTTTATTGCCAAAAAAAAAAAATAAAAAATAAAAAATAAAAAATAAAAAACTTAAAAATTTATATAAATAACGAAGCGTGCAAAATCATTCTTCCGCGCAAATTCGGATAAATATTAGACAGTATTGTCATCGCATTTATATTCAGTGCAGCTAATGAGTGCAACAGTGTGTATGTGTGTGCAGAGTAATAGAGATCGAGCATCGATTGCTTTATATGTGTGCATATATAGAAACAATAGATAGTGCTTTGACGCGCTTAAGTTTATGAAAACTTGAATATTAAAAAAAAAAAAATAATAATAATAATAAGAAAAACAATTAAAAAATCAATAAATAGATAAATTAAAAGAAAAAATTCCAATCGAGTTAGCAATCATAAAAATAACAGTAACAGTAACCGTAGCAGTAACATCAACATCAATATCAACATCAGCATCAACGACAACGGCAACATCAATAGCAACACCAACAGCAACAAGTAGTAGTTAATACCATCGTCATAGTAATCATCATGCGTTTGCCTTATCGTAACAAAAAGACCACCCTTTGGGTTGTGTTTGCTGTTATTGTTGTTACAATGTTTCTATTTAAATTTACGGAATTACGACCCATATGCTTCTTCAGAGACGATACAGCAGCCTCGGTAATGGTGAGAGGAGATTCGGTAAGTTTCGCAATATTCTTACTTTTCGCATCAAAAGTATTATATAATGAAATGAAAATAAATTTTCATTATATTAAAATCCTTTCTTCTCTTAACACATATACCATAACTAATTTAGATTAAGGTATAAACTCATTACGCTTGTCTACTTACCATAACTATAAATAACTTTAATACTTATTATGCTTTATATTATTGGGGTGTCCAAGAAATATTCAACTTATTAATAAAGAGAAATATTATAATTATTGTTACATATTAAGAGAACATTACTACGAATTGCCTGAGTAATTTAAATATGTAAGTATATAGAGTAGAATGTGTGTGTGGGCCGTGAGTTTTGTGTGTGCGACCAGTGCGACGTTTGGAAAATATTCGTGTTCACAACTAAGTTTCGAGATTCTTTTGAACGCCATTAAGCGATCGACTAAAGCCATAGATGATCATAACAAATAATGATTTATGGTGAATGTGAATGCAACGAAGGAAGAAACTATAGCAAATTTCAGTTGTTAACGTTTCCTGGACTTTACGACGCAGCTCGTTATGCATCATATCCACGTGGCGCCTCAGTGCCTCAGCCGCCCTGGAGTTATACATTGTTATCGCTTAGTTTGTATTACATTTTGAATATCGTAACCCATCCTTTATTCAGTGCCGGTGACAAATTGTCAGCACCAGCCTTCGAATTGAGCAGGAAAAGACATAGCAGTGTTGATATTACGACTGTTTATCTATCGCAAACAGAACGTACACACAAAAAATATATAAAGGGATAGAGAGGATAATGGAGGCTACGTTGCTTTCTTTATAGAATGACCTATTAATGGAATATCTTTAATATATAATTCCTTAACTGTACCCATTTCTGAACATTTCCAAGCCCGCTCTTCATTGCATTACAAATTCGGATTCATGTGAATTGACATTAATATACTAGTTCTTATATCGAGGAGGATAAGGTGCCAAGACGTATGCTTTTGAACCGTTAAATGCTTGTTAGTCTTTAATTTTTACGGTTAAACTTTAAAACGAGCGTAGCATAGAAAACACAAATTTCGTTCAAGTACATTTTGGAGAAGTTAAAAGGACGTTCGCATTTTTATTTAATTTTTTTTTTTTTTCTTTTTTTTTTTTTTTTTTTGTGTGAATACAAAACGAGCACTTACCTAAAATATAAGTCGTTGGTTGCTTTGTTCTTTTGTATGAAAAATAAGATACAAAAGAAAATAAATAAAAGATATAAAAAGAAAAAAAAAGAAGGAAAAAAAAAGTCGAGAAAAGAGAAATTGAAGAAAAGAAGAAAATGAAAGAAAAAGTACTTTTCTTCAAACAAACAGTGACTGAAGTTAGTTGTACGTTATGTGCATTGCTGCTTACCTTTAGAAATCGTTTGTTGTATGAGCGTGCTCTGGTGCGAGTTTTCAAGAAACTGAGATTCAATTTGTTGCACACGCCAAAAAAGAAAACTTTAGTACTTTTTCTTTTTATATATAATTCTTTCTTCTCCTGTGCTGCAGTTTTCCACTTTTTCAGTTTTTTCAGTTTTTCTTTTTTTTTTTGTTTTTCTGTGCTTTTAGATGTTTGCATCTCTCTTATTCGTCATTCCATTTCATATACACTAACCGCGTACAAAGTTATATTAATTTTATTATTGCATTTGCAAAACTCAAAATCATGGTCGCGCGAGATACATGTATATGTTTAAAATAGAAAAATATATCAATCGATCCACTATTTTATAATAATGTTTTATAATAGGACATAACCTCACATTTCGTATTGATTCTTGTGGCTATCAAGTATAAATGAATATTGCAACTACTACTTGTAGCTTTCCCTCGACTTCGAGTCATCTGTCTGAAAATGGTCTAAAGAGGGCAATAACATGTTACTTTCAATTCTTGAACCGAGCGCATGTGTGAAAAAGATAAAAAATTATTCGTAAAATTAGTTTAGTTCGTCTTACTGTAATCCTTTCCATCAGTAAGAAGAGAACGATATCTGGTAACTATTCCTAAGCCGTCTGAGTAGTGCATGAGCTTACGATGATCATAATTTCATTTCGTACACAGCTAATTTTAATTTAGATAGCTAGACAGGTGAATAGTTTGGACAATTGTTTATATTAATAAGAGGAAAGAAAAAAAAAAAAAAAAAATTAAGTACAGTACAGCCGAGGAGACACGGCTTGAGATAAAATTCTTGCACCAAAGTTGCATCAGGAATTTTTACTCTTTCTTGATTTGTATCGGTCTGGTGATAATAGTAACGTAAAATATTTGCGCAATCGTCGTCAGTTATATACCATAAGATCTTCATGGCTAAATGGATGCGTAGAGTCTTTAATTGATTTCTGGACATGTGCACCTGACATGGGGGATTTCTTTAGAGGGTTTCTCGGATATATTTTGTTTTTTTTTTTCAATTCTTGCAAACAAAGTATCGACATGAGTATGCCTTTATTCTATGATGATGGCATTGGTTATAAAAAACAACTTACCTTCAATAGGTATCCAAGCTTGAACGTACCTATCTTACCGGTGTAATTTTCTTTTTTGTTACGGTAAATAAACGTGAAAATTTAGCTGAAAATATTTCTTTTATCAAACATTAATAAAAATTCTTTCTCTCCTCTTTTTTCATCAACAAACATAATCATATCTTGCTTGCAAACTAAATTTGTATGTTATTCTTCTCTTCTAACTGTTAAGTAATCTCTACTCTCCTCTACATTCTAATTCTTGTAAAGAGGGAGACACAGAGCGAGAAAGAGGAAGATAAAAATAATAATAACAAAACATATTCTAAGTTTTTGAATAGTTTATCTAAGTTCTTATATCAGTCTGCAAGAATGTGCTCTTGAGTTGTGTGTGTATACACATTAGACATAATTCCTTTCTTTGTTCTCTTCAATGCGCTTTTTATTATTGCATATTTCTTGCAAATAGAAATTTCCGAAAGATCTTTTAAAAAGTAAATCACTAACAGAAAATAAAAAAAAAAAAAAAATACAAAAAATAAAATCATCACAATTTGATTTGATGATAGATGTATGTCGCACATTTTTTTTCTCATGCTTTCAATTTTTTTTATATATATCTTTTTCAGAGATATTTAGACGGAGACAATCAGAAAAATTATGCCTATAATCGAGAAATGCCATTGATATTTATCGGCGGTGTACCCAGATCGGGAACAACACTAATGAGAGCAATGTTAGATGCCCATCCGGACGTAAGGTAATGCCGATTTTCTTTATAAATATTTATGCGATAAACACACATTAGTTAAATAAACTAATCAATGCTTATCAAAAAGGTAAAGCAAGCATTGCATACCTTAAAGTCTTTTTCTCACAAATTATTTAAAATCGATAGCTTGCGAGCTTTTCACTTATATAATGAATAACATTATAGAGAATTTCTTGAATATTATGAATGATAAAAGTGTTTGGCGAATTCATACATGTATCTGTTTTGATCAAGACTCTCGATACTCGTCAAAATCCGTCAGCTACGTATCATTTTCGATTGGGATTTTGTTATTGAATATAATTCAATTATTGATTGCGAACATCAAACTTTAATTTGCAAAAATTGCTTACCTTTTTAAAGCATGTACGGAGGAGAGACAGAGACAGATATGCCTGAATTCTATTCCTATTCTTCTGTTGTGCGTACAATAATAAAAAATAAAATGAAGTGCTTTACTACATATTATTGATCAGTATCACACGATGATGGCTATAAAAGATTCAATCGCGGCCGAATATAATTTACTTACTTTACTTCTTACTACTATTATTATTAAAATTATAAAAGCATACCAGCGAACTCTGTTATGTAGCAATAATAAAATATGTAAGCATTGCCCAGACACAAATGTGTCGCAAAACTTCTGCATTTCTATAGTATATCTTAAGGATGTCACAATTAGCATAATCTCTGCGCAAATGTTCGAATTGTGATTGATCTCGGAATACGTTTGACGAGTATCAAAAATGATTTTAACGACGACTATTATGACCGACATACATAACAACCTGTTTGCCTGCTAAGGTTTAGACGTAACTAATTGTTAGGTTGTAAGTACTAGTGGATATGTCGTTGGTTTCTGACTGGATTTCAAGATACTTTTTCTCTTTTCTTTTCCTTCTCGTTGGCTTTTTAAAAAGCTTTTTTGGATTTCAAAACGGCTGCGATTGCCTTCAGTCGGTTGAGTTTCATGCGCCAATGTGAAATCAATCATACTTTGAATTAAATAAAGGTCTGTCTGTTTGCCCTACTGATGCATATCCATATATTTTCGTTTTAAACTCACAGTGTCGTAATGTACGATACAAAACCGAATCCTATTAAAAGCGAATTAAATGGAAGCATTTTTCGTGACCAGTGTTCGTCGTGAAAGGACAAGTTGGATTAAAAATATTATAAAATATTAAAAATTTCCAATAGAATTCGCTGAGTATTAATATTTTAGCTTAAATTAATTGATGTGAAAAATTTGGATCGGATGGGTGAACTTTTTGAAACTCCTTCCGATATGTATGTATATAAGGTTTGCCAAAAGAAAGAAAAGGAAATCGTTGTATGGCAAAAAGATGGGATTTTTAATATTTCATTATGAATTGCACCTAACGAATTCCGATGATATAAATTTAGTTTCCGGATCGCACCCAAAGGGTAAGAATGTTTCTGAAAATTAAGTCTTTGCTTGGCAACAAAGTCTAATTTTCAACGCTTTGTTTTTTTTTTTGTTTTTTTTTAAGACAATAGGTGAGATCTACTATATGAACTAAATTTTACTAAATTTAGATCACGTTTTGGATCTCTTCCCATGTCAGGATTCCTATGGAAACTTTGGTTTTCTTTATCATGGAAATCAGTAAGGAATTATGTTCGGTCAAGTGGTGTCAGGTATATTTACTCTTTGATCGCCTTTGAGTAGAACTTTTTTACTTGGTCCTGTATAGAAATTTATGTTTATAAATATTTGAAAATTTTATTCTCTTACAATTAAGAGAGCCGACCTGTTGCCTGCCATTACAAAATAATTCAATATTAAATTCGGTTAGCATCAGTTAGTTACGCTGGTAGTACAACATGTGTTATGTAAGCAAGGTATGCAAGCTATTCTGAATTTGTGGTAAACTTACTTACATTTCTCGAGAACATAACATGTACAAGGGTGCAAAGTGACGTAGCAGTAGAATGACATAGTCAATTTAAACTACACGTGCAAGGGAAAACAATAAATAACACTATAGTGGGACACGGCTCAATATTAAATACCCTATATCACTTTGCTTAATACAGTGACATGAATAAAGACTTTTTCAAATGGACCTTTACATTTGAAGTGGTCGAATAGATGATCGAATTCAAATTATTTTCAATAGCGATCGTGCTTGGGGCCAAGCTTGGTTAAAATATTTGGAAAATTGTGGCTCATAGGTCACAAATTTGAATCGATCTCACGTCCTTCTGGATATTGTGTACGTCCGTACAAACATATTTTTACACCTTTGTGTACGATAGGTATTGTGTAGGGTATGCAATTATCTCCCGAAGAACACTTAAAGTCACATATATATACATACGTTATACAAGTTGTTAGTTGTGGGTAAATTTATTGAATAATCCAAGAAAAAATATTGAAACTAAAATCTATTTCACATTCTGAGATTATAATCGTAAACTGGGCGTGTACAGTCGGACAACGACGAAAGGTTAAATCATTTCAGCTGCATAAGGAATGAAAAATATATCAAAAATTTATAAGGAATCCGATGCATATACATATCCGATGCACTCTAAATATTCGATAAATTTAATATATTATAATAAATAGTGTGTTATGGAAATTGACAAAAAAAAAAAAAAAAAAAAAATGTTTTTTTTATATTAAAAAAATGTGCAACTTGTATAAATTTAAATATAATCGAATTGATTGTTGTGGTAAAACTTAACTTTATACCAACCAACAACATATAGGAAACCTCAAAAAGTTGAAATATTCATGGTTGATAGATAAATAACGAAAATGTGATCCAGGGGAAGAGGTTGCATTTATTTTGTTTTTATTTTTGTTTTCAATGCGTGCATCGTATGCTTGAAAATTATGAAATTCTTTATCGATACATTTTATAATTTAAATTTGCAGGCAAAATTGTTAATTAATTAGGAAAAAATAAAAAAATAAAATTGATATAAAACCAGCATGTTTCAGATGCCGCGAGAAAAGTAATAATGAAAATAAATGAAAAAGTATAGTTAACGTATGTGGCGGCGTCTCCTACTTGCTGCCCGGAGATATATATTAACTTTGCATTATGAAATTTATACTGCAATTACTGTAACTGTAAGATTAATAAAATTGATATTTCATGACCGGACCGGACCGGACCGGATCTCCTTTCTCTACTTCCAACTTTACGCATTATTTTCGAATATAATAGAAATCTGAGTATTCAGATATATGGTTACATATATATTTTCGTTCCAATAATCGTTAGTGAGTACCTGGACCCGTCACTTTTTATGTAACTACCAAATATCTGGAATGTCTGAGCTTTGGCTGCAGACTACTTCTGAAAAAAAAAAAAAAAAAACTACACAATAATCGCGAATCCTTGGATGGAGACGTTGTGCCCGGATTCTCATATAAATCAAGGGTATAAAATCCGTGTAAATTGCGTAGCTTGGCCTAAGATTTACTGCCAGATCGGTGGTAATGTTGAGTTTAAGGACATTCGACGGACAAGCCGCAAAAAGTTACAAACAAAAGGATACACTTGTCTTTTATATCCTATCCTCTCCGAAGTAAAGGACAGACATAAGTTAAAGCGTACCTAACTAACTAGGAATGGGTATGGCACTATGCCGAAGACCGTCCTATACTCTATCCTATCTATGGTTTTCGTTCGGCTGCATTTTTGCTGGAGACGCCTTATTTGACTTATACTACATCTCTATGTAAAATATAATTTTTTCGAAAAAAAACAAAGCGATTAGACAGTCGCTTTCAACCATTGTACATATGTATAGCTTCATATTCGGACATAAGGTACAGTTTTTTCTACAAGAAAACAAAATAAAAAAAAAAGAAAAAAAGAAAATTATAACGCAAATGATTTTCATCCAAATGATTTTCTCTGCTTTGCCATCAGTTGAATCTAACCTCACTATTGTTTTTCTCTTTAATTTTTTTTTTTTTTTTTTTTTTTTTTAATTTCTACAACAAACCGCAATTGTTTTATTTTTCGTTCTCATTCCATTCGTTGTTTGCAATGCAAACTTTGACAAATATAGCGGATAGAATTTTATTTTATATTTATTAAAATGTATATATATACACACATATATATATATATATATATATATATATATATATTATGTATTTTTTATTTTCATATGACACTTTCAAATCCATGTATAAAAGTTGACAGTGAAGTATAAGCCTTTCGCTTCTCGATTCACGGTTGTTTGGCGGCCACAGCAAGGGAAATGAGTGTTCATGATTTGTGAAAGATGAGTTTAGCAACCGCGCATAACATAACAAAATAATAAAATGGGTGGAGAAAATAAAAAAAAATAAAAAAATAAAACAAGAAACGAGAAAAAAAAAAAAAGAAGCGGTCTATAGGGAGAACATACGAATACCATGTTTCTCATTAAATTTTGGATAGTGTTGTCAGAAATTTCAAATGAAACAAATTGCAAGTTATAGCGACATGTGTGTATATGTGTGCAAGTATATTAAACAGTTCACCGTCAGATATGCGTGACTGTCTTCACATAGAAAAGACGTGATTTTATTGATTATGATGGACGAATTATGTAATAATTTTTGAACTTAATGAACATCTCTGTAAAGCTCCATTAGTGCATTCTTCAGATAAATGATTAGATATAGACGAATATGATTTATTGACTTGCATTATTTATGCTGGTCAACTTTACATTATATACATATATATATATATATATACATATATATATATATATATATATATATATATATATGTATTAGTTTGCCCATATACGCATTGTCCATATTTGACTTAACTTAACGTATATCTCGCTGTGGTAAATGTGGAAAATAGCAAACAGGCCTTGATAACAATCTGTCAAAATTTATCCAATTATATATATATATATATATATATATATATGTATATATATATGTATATATTAACCTCTGTGCGTTCTATTCCTGGTCATCTGTATATAATATATTT